AAATTGGTACTGGCATGTGTCAGGGAGCCAGATCCGTGGACCGGCTTTCTTTTGAGTAAACTTTGTGGGAATGCCATCGACAATATCTTACCCAAAGAATAATTACATTGGTGGACAAAACGGATTATTGAACGGTACCCAAACAAAAGAAAAACCGTCAGAACGGCTATATAGAATTATGTGGATAAGAATTGCTTAAAATAGAGAAGAATGGTGAAATTGCCAGCTGCATTAAGAGCCAAAAATAATAGGGCTGAGTGTAAGGGATCAGCAGAATTATCGTGTTTGGATGCACTCTCCGTGTTTCATCCCTTAGCTGTAAACACAAACCAAACGCGACAATGAAATAGCAACTGATCAGAGCAGCAGCTAATTTCAATGTATCACGAGGGAACGTTTTTTTTGCTTTGATGATTTAGCGTTTTTTTCTTAAATTATGAGTGTTTGATAATTTTTACAGTTTAACACGAAAAAATGCGCGCATTTCGTCTTCCGTTACGGTTTTTCCTGAAACGAGCCGGTACTGTGATCACAAAATATTCCCGACCAGCGCTGAGAAGTGAAGTGCTCGGACGTGGTTTAACGGTTTGTTCAGTTTTTTTATTTTTCTCCAACCGTCATAAGCTATTTTTGGTTGAAAAATTGAATTTTTGCCAGTTTTTTCCATCAAGTTTTACCAATTTTTAGTTAAAACTTTTTGCTAAAAATTTGGAATTTTTATAAATTTTTTTTTTATAAAATTTTTATGAAAACAGAAAGTTATAATGAGAAGGAATGAAACAAAAGAGAAAAAAAAGGAAAAAGATGGTAGGAAGTGAAAATTCGAAAATTTGTCAGATGATTATAATGTTAAGAAGTGTTTCGGTCCATTAAGTCGTATACATTTCTTACCATTACGGATTTTTTCCAAGAAAAATGAGAATTTTTTTCACTTAAATATATATATGTTTTTTAGATTACTGAAATTTTAGCTTTGGGGACGTGTTGTTATCAGGCCACTTGCATTGGCAACTTATCAGAAGCAATGGAAACGTGAAAATGTTCTGGGTGTTAATAGGCGAAATTTTTCGCTGCTGAGGGTGTGTACAAGTCGAGAAGTCCCAGAACGAATCAAGGTCTTTTTTTTCGAGAAATTTTTGCGATTTTGATTATTAGGTGTAGTATTTGCAAATACTCGTAATATATCTTCGTAACATGAAAGATTCTGCGCTGGCCATTCAAAAATCTGAATGATCGCAATAACTTGTCCATAATTTCTGTTTT